TCTATTGGACACCTACTCCATGCTAGAGAAATAGTGAGCTGAGACTACACTAGTGAACAAGGAAGGCATGCTCTATGCCATTTGAGAGGCTGAATCAGCTCTTTCCGATGCTGCATGTTTCTCTAACATGGATGGGTATAAAGAATCTGAAAGTTAAAAGTCAAAGACAGGTTAGAATAAATGTGTCATGACACTTGCCTTTTCTAGTACTAAGTTCTTTCCCCCATTGCCTCCTTGTACCCCATCAGCAGGAACTAAAGTCTAAGCATTTGGCAATAATGCTTCTAGAGAATTCTAGAACTTTCTCTGTACTAAACTCACCCACAAAGTTTTGTTCATTGTATTGCTACAGTAGATTTATCGTTTTATTCTTTGGACTTGCACTGCCATGCTTGTTAAATGTATTTGCTAAAGCATATACTTTTTGTACGTTTATACCTAAGAGGTATAAAAATCATAGGTTTCAACTGTATTCTAATGAGTGTGTCCAGGAAATCCCTACAGAAATAATATCCTAGGCAAGTCAGTTTTACTCAAGAATTTGGAATCACCTTAGCACTACAAAAGGAAGAATAATTCTCAGTTGCTTAAGGACAACAATTTTTTTTTTTTTTTTCTTTTCCGTAAGAATAGGAAAGACTCCTGGAAATGTAGCGTTTTGTGCTGGCTCTGACTGAAAAAAGTTTTTATTTTTCCCACTATTGCCACCTGGTGGACAAAGGCAATTTCTTTAGACAGCACATAGGAACATATCTTTGTATTACCACAAGATGGCAGCACACAACCAAGTTTTCAAAATGCCAGGCTCAAAACTTTCAGGGTTTTGCTTCTCAAAACAGAATGTTCTATTCCAACAGAAGAGGATGAATAGGAAATAATAGTACAAAATAAGCACTCTGTTTTGCTTTCCTAAAGATAAATGGAATTCCAAGTCTTAAGATCATTAATTAGTGTTTCGATCAAAAAGAATGAAATCTTGCTATTTTCAACAACATGGATAGAACTAGAGGGTATTAAGCTAAGCGTAGTAAGTCAGTCAGAGAAAGACAAATATCATGATTTCACTCATATGTGGAATTTAAGAAACAAAACTGATGATCATAGGGGAAGGGAAGGAAAAATAAAATAAGATAAAAACAGAGAGGGAGGCAAACCTTAAGAGACTCTTAACTGTAGAGAACAAACTGAGGGTTGCTAGCGGAGAAGGGGGTGGGGGGGATAGGCTAGAGGGGTGATGGACATTAAGGAGCGCACTTGTTGAGATGAGCACTGGGTGTTGTATGTGGGTGATGAATCACTGGTTCTGCTCCTGAAACCCCAGTGCTGCACTATATGTTAAATAACCTGAATTAAAAAAATAATCATCATCATCATCACAAACCGGTTTCTTTATTGCAATAGGGAGGGCTTCCTAAAATTTAACTCATAACCTAGTTTGCTTTTAAAGTTATTTCAAGCAAATGCATATTTTTTTCTGATTTGTTGTGCTATTTTCTTCATAGAGTATAATATTTGGACAATGTTTTAAAATCCTTCTTTTAGTGAACTCTTTTTAATTAATTAGCAGGGGAGTTTCTGTTCCCTAAGAGAAATATTTAGACATGTAGACTCTTATCCAGGCCTGTGTCACTGACTGGTTAACCCAGGCATATTGCTGGTTTTCTCCTGACCAAAATGCTGCCTGGTCAGTCTGCCTCCCTATCACTTCAGTGTGCTAACATCTCTTGATGTTTCATTCATCCTTATTGCTGCAGTAAATTTTTTTTGTTATTATTATTCTTTGGATCTACACTGCCATAGCTTACTTGTTAAGATATATTTTTCTCTTTTCCACAAAACTGACAGTCCTCTCCAAAGGGGATTTTACCACAAATCTGATAACAATAACTCTCATTCATTGAGCATTTACTATGTATCTAGCAGCATTCTGAGTACAGTATGGTAATTAGTTTATCTAACCGGTAGCACAAACTTATAAGGAGCACATTGATTAAATTTATTTTACAGATAATGAAACTTAGGCAAAGAGAGGTTGAGTGATATTTTCTAGCTTAAGCAGAACCATTGGTCTTCCTGCCTGCCCAGGTTCCTGAACACTTCCTTGGAATTATTCCCATGAGGCCTGTGGATCAGGGATGGAGCAGGGGAAACCAAGTATTCTTGACATAAAGATGGTCCCGTTAGGGATCTAGGCCTCTTTGGGTGAAAAACAATCATTCCATGACCTTGTAGCACCCTTATAAATTCCAAAGAATGATAAATTGAAAGGTTTGACCAAAGAAAGAAGGGAAGTTGCCCTTTGCACAAGAGCAGAGCCAAACTGTCCCCAGTTGATACTGAATCATTGAAATATCCCAGCGAGAACCCTAGAGTTATATAAGCTATAGTTACATAGCCTTGCTTTCATAAAAACACCAGAGGGGCATTGTAGGATAGTGGGAAGGTTCTAGTTGGAGAAGAGAGAGCCCTAAATTTCAGTCTCAGCTTTACTCTGTGTGACCCTGGGTAACTGATCATACTATTCTAAGTACATTCTCTACAGTGCCTTTTCAACAATGTTTAAGGCAACATATTTATTTCAAAGAAAAGTAGTCAGAGTAGGTATTATGAAAAAATAAGTGGCAGTGTGTTTAATATACAATTGAAACTTCAGTAGTCTGATGATCAACATAGTCAATAGGTAGAGTTGTTTTATAAACAAAACAGTGATTTTTTTTTTTTTTTTTATCTTGATGGAATCTGGCTTCACTTCTGGAGTAAGAGTGACATTGGTTTCTGGCTTCTGCTAGAAGAGGAACAGAATTCTCACTACATCCTTCTGTACAGGCTTCCACACAGAAGATTGTGCAAGGAACAGACTAACTCTTCAAAGACAGAAGGACAGGTGCCAGTGGCTTTGAGCATCTTCAGAAGTGCATCTAGAGGCCCACCAGCAATCATCATACAAAAGAACATTCACACTAGGATCCCCCATCCCGCATCTAACCGGTTTAGGCAGACTGTCCTTATGTGTAGATACAGCTTGCCGTTAGGAGCAGCCTGGCTTACACTAGTTTTGCTAATGCTGAATTGTAGCCAAACATTTTCAAAACTTCAGACACTAGAAAAACTGTGCCCTTCTTATAGCCATCATAAGAATACCAGAAAACGGCATGCTGTTTGAGGGCTTCTCCTTGTGACCTCCTTTGGATAGACAAATGGAAAATCTGTGAAGGAAATAGACTGCACCAAACCTCAGAAATTTTGCATACCTGATTCTGAAGGTCTGAACCCTTTGTGCTAAATCAGATCATAAGTTAGCTACTCAGGCTCTCTGTTGTTTTAACAGTCTCAGGCTCTGTTAAGAGGATGCTTGGCCTATATTTATTTTTCTCATATTTCAGTGATTCTAAATCTGCTCTGGCCCATTGTGCATTCAGAGTGCCTTCATGCATTGGCCGTACTACAAGAGGGAACAGGAGCAGAGACAGCCCTGCTTCCCTGGAACTCATAGTCCAGTAGCGAAGACAAGCATTAATCAAACATCAGACAAAGGTATTTAAAATTAAAACTGAGATGAGTGTCATGAAGGAGAGCAGAGCTTATAATAAAGGGACTTAATTTTCCTAAGGAGACTAAGGAAGACTTCCCTGACTTCTGAAGGATGAGTGGGATTTCTAGTAGTGATAACATTGGGCCATCGGCCCTACAACAACAACAAAAAACATGATCCCATGGAGAATGAAGGAAGGCTTGTGGGCTGGGATGCAGAGATGATGAGTCTGGAGAGATGAGGGAGGAGAGCCATGGATGCAATGCTAAGGATTTGGGTCCTTATCCTGGAAGACGCAAGAAAGCATGAACAAGTTTCAAGCAAGACAATGAGGTAAACCAGATGTCCAATTCACAGAGCTCTCTTTAGCTTCAAAGTTCAGTCACTTTACTTCCTTAGTGAAAGTGTGTTATTGGGGGGTGCAAGGTCATGTCCTGATCACAGAGAAGACAATCCATATCCCACAGCCATGGTTTGGGCTCCTATATCTAACTTACCATTCAGTTGGTCCTGAAAATGAAAGTGGTAGCCTATGGAAATTTTCCACATTTACTTCTAAAAATCTAACAGTATTGTTGTTTAGTTGATAAAGTTACTCAAAAGGGAATTCACGTGTTTGACCACTATGAGCTCTTCCAACCCTGAGATTTATACACTTAACAAGTATTTATTGAACACATACTGCATGTCAGACTCTAATCTAGGCGCAGAAATACAATGGTTGACAAGACAGACTTCATTGCTGCCCTCACAGAACATTTATTCTAATGGAAGAGATAAACTTTAACCAAGCAAATAAGTAAATTTATAAAATGATACCAACTAGTGATAAATGCTAAGAATATTAATAAAACAGGGTAAAGGAATAGAAAGTGACCTAGGGTACCATTTTGATAAGGTGATGGGAGAAGTTCTTCCTGAGTTGGTGTCCTTTCAGTAGAAATCTGAATGAAATGACTGTGTGGGCCATGCAGAGATCTGGGGAAGAAACATTGCAAGCACATAAAACAACAGGTGCACCACTTGTAAAGCTGGAAAGGATTTAGTGTGTTAGGAGAAAAGCAAGGTCAACTGGCTTGAGTGGAGTCAACCAGGGGCAAAATGGCAGGAGGGGGTTAGAGGCCAGACACATTCTATCATCCCATTAAATTGCAGTCAAGAGTACTTCTACATGCCATTCTCAGAGTTCTTGTACTTGTCTATACACATAACATGTGGCATCAAGTGTTTGTAGTTGGAAATTATTTTTGCCACCTCCAACTGAACAACATTTGTTCCAACAAAACAATCTCTTTCCGTGTGCCTTTCTTTCGATCTCTACCAGTACGTGTTCCTATTAGAATGTTCTTTCCACCTTTTGTCCCATTCCCCTTTCAGTGGAGAGTACCAGATTACCTTTGTGCTTATTTTCAATTGATAAAAAAAATTTTATCTGTTTTTTTGTTTTGCTAAATGTTTCTTTTTTTAGAAATTGGCACCACCGTGCACTTCAAGCAAAAAGGTATGGTTCTTATTTCTGATTACCTACTGTATGTTAAAATTAAGATTTCTTAGCCATATATTGGAGTCTTATACTCTTGAGTTTATTTCATCTCAATCATTTGTGATAATAATTTCCATAACATATTTGCCACTATGTTTCCCAGATTGTGAACTTTCTCAGTCACATAAAGCCCTGATCCAACCCATGACCCCTATATCACTTTTGACAGCTATTCTTTTTTAAATCTCTAGAACTGAACAAGTTATCCCCCTCCCACTTTCCATATCCTAAGTGGCCATGGTTAACCCTTGCAGATCTGCACTTTTGGCAATGTTCCCTGCCCAGTGACTGGGCTTTCATAAGAGACAGAGAGCCTACTTACTGTCCCTTGTTGGCTATTAAAATAGATACACTGATAAAGGATCTCCTAAAATGAAGCATTGAACAGTTAATATTCTCCCTGCCTCGGTGTTCTCACAGGTCTTCCTATAACCTCCCCCTTCTGTGGTACACCCAGCTGCTGGGGTCTCCCAGGGACAGCACCACATGCCTCCATCAGCCACGTGACACAGTAATCACCCACCTCTCCCTACAAAGGCAGTGCAATCAGGTGAAAACTTCATGAACTGAAACCTACGATGCAAACAATGACCAATTCTGAGGTGCCCTCTTTACAAGTCCAACATAAATCCTCAACACTATCTTCCCCAGACAAAAGCTACGGAGGAACCTGCATGGCCAGACAGCAACCTCCTTAAGTCCTCATGGCCACTCACCTGGATTGGTAATTGTCTCATATGAAGATGTTTTCTTCTCTGGGCCTCAAAGAGAATGAGACAACCCAGGTCATTCTCAATTGTGAAAATCTATTCTTGTGGGACTTAGACCCTACCAGTGACCAACATCCACAGAGATTATGTACACTTCGTTGCTTACTCCCAGGAAAGGGTCAGCACCTTGTTTATGGCCAGCTCTAGCAAGTCTTCACATAAGGCAGCAGAGACGAAGCCACCAGAAATACATACATTGAACCAAGATCATTTGGGGCAAGAAGGTGTAAACTCGTGTCCCTTTCGGCCCTTCTTCTCTCCCCAGTGCCATGATTATCAATTACATGTGAATTTTAAGTTTCTAGTGTTAGTAGAACATATGATATCTTAGGGTGTTGGAGAAATAGGGCATAGGGTTTTATTTCAAAGACCACCGAGATAAATTCCTAGTGTCAGCCAAAGGAATTCTTAGTATTGGCCTACAATTTCAAAATTTTGTATGCCAAATGTTTGATGCTGTTTTGTTGGAGAAGATGTGATGGACTTTATGGTGAGAATACTTTAAGCTTATTCAAGACTCCCCTTATACAGAGGGGAGATAATACATAAAAAATTATGTAGGAGGAACCCAAATTTAAGTCTAAGACATGGCTCAAATTAAACATCAATTTATCCCCTCTTCTGTGCTCCAGCCTGGAGAATATAGGCTTTAATCCCCACTTCCGTCCTGCAGAGGAAGCTGTACTGGCTGAACATAGAGAGCAGGTGGCGCCAAAGTCAATCTTACCAGGCTTCCCTTTAAACGTGGCTTTCCAGGACAGGGAAGGGCCTTTGCCTGCACATTTAGATATTATCTAAGAGAGATCTTAGAAGATTGTTTTTCTCCTTTGCTTAACAATTGTTTTGTATTCGAGTTTTTGTTTTATTTTCAGTCACTCGGTCAGTCCTTAATAGTTTTTTTTTTTTAAAGATTTATTTATTTATTTATTTGAGAGAGGGAGAATGAGAGATGGAGAGAGAGAGCGTGCACATGAAAGGGGGGAGGGTCAGAGGGAGAAGAAGACTCCCTCCTGAGCAGGGAGCCTGATGAGGGACTCGATCCCGGGACTCCAGGATCATGACCTGAGCCGAAAGCAGTCGCTTAACCGACTGAGCCACCCAGGTGCCCCGTCCTTAATAGTTCTAAGAAGAATTCAAACTTAAACTTACCTGGTCTTTCTTCTTTTCTTGCATGGCTCAACTACGTACAGGAATAAAATTATTATTGACTTTGATTCCTTAGTGGCTGAAAGGAATGCCTGAGGATCCCTGAAGCTGTGATTAATGTTTTGTTTTGTTTTAAGAATGATTATTTTGAATAAATCTAGTCCTAAATCTAGGAATGAGTCCTAAGTACTCAGGAGAAGCAACAGAAATGCATTGGCTAGATTGGAATGAATCACAAAGTGTCTCCAAGTAAATGGTCTCTAAAGCAGGTGTTGGAAAATCACGTTGTACTTTCTTTGAGATTTTACTGAAAGACAATCAATTGTCTGCGCTGCACATCTTGCATCAAATTCTTGTAGAGACTTGCCGAAAATTCTCATATCCCACAATTTCAGGATGCTTTATCAACCTTGTCCTTAATCACAGATTCCCTTGTAAAAGCATTATTGTGGCAAAGTGCAATCCAGCATTCACCTTGATACACAGTCTCACTTATCATCCTGTCCTGAGGTTGAGAACCTTGACCTGGTGTGTTGAGTCAAGATTCTCTATCTTGCTACAGCTGAATTTTGCCCCTTCAGGTCAAACTTTAAAAAGCCTTGACCCAATTCACAAGCTGATGCCTTTGATTCAGGGGTATTTCATGTCTTCCTGTAATCCAAGCTTCTATAGTTAATAGCAAGGATGATGATGCTACCATTTATTGAATGTTTACTAGATACCACACATATAAGTGCGCGCACACACATAAACACATATAGAATGTGGCTAAATGCCAAGATATGATTTTTGTCTGTTGTATGAAAAACATGTAGCAATTTTTGAATTGTGGTTCTATTTGCCCATCTATTCTTAAGGCTAATTTATGTTTACAGACTCTTGCTTTCATTATATCTGTCAGTATATAAAAGCACTTGCTGAGCCTGGCCATCTGGTGTGGGAAATAAGATTTATCATTTGCATTTCCACAAATAAGCAGAAATTTCATAACTATGAACTAAAACATAATTAATGATTTTGCTGATTATTCTTCCCTGAAATAGCCATTAACTGAAGTAGGCTCCTATGCAGTCATATATATCTATAATTGCATACACACTTGTGATGATGCTCCAACTATCATTCATTTACCCTTGCATTTTTTTTCAAGCTATTTATTTACTCTCAAAACCAATTATGAAAAGAGCAAGTCATATAAGCACATCAAATAGCTATATGAGAGCACTTAATAAATAATAATTGATAGAAGAGAAGATATCCTTAACAGATCCACGAAATGCAATTCAAATATATAATAATAATTCTACTAAGGATAAAATTAAGATTATTAACACAGTCATACTGGGATTCCCTGCACATATCATAGGCTAGCATGTGAAAATAACAGTTAATTCTCAATTGTATCTATTAAAAGGCCAATAATATGTGTGTACATAATCATATTTGTATATATGAGTATGCATATAATATATACTTCTCTTTCTATCTGCGAATATATGTGTGTACATACATTAGCAAGAATGTTATATGTGAACATATTTATTTAGGCTCCTATATGTATATATTGTATTTTTCAATGATGGAATTTTTGCTTTCTCAAATACTTACTGCCCTTCAAATAAAATGATAAGACTAGGCTTTTTAGACTTCCCCAGGTACCACTCAACTCCAAGATGTCTGAAAGATAATCTAGCCTGTCCCAGCACTAAAAGTGAGGTTAAGGACATAGGCAAAATTAGACTCTTTCTAAAAACGTTCTGTTTCACACTATCCCTAGGGCAAAACAAAAATCATTTTTGCTTGGTCCTGTGAGGCCTCAATTTGTGTGTAGTCTTTCTCTGTTTTGGAAGCTGTCCTGACCCATTAATCCAAGTAAATGCCATTTAAAGCATATAAAGGAATTAAAATGATAGGGAAATGCGTTAGCATCTGGCCAGAAGCCCTGGGGAGTTGCCACTGAGAGAACTTAAAGGTCACAAAGGCCAAAAAGGATGGTGGTGAAGGGTGTGGAGGGTGGGCTATGAAAGGCATGGAGCTGAGACTCTGAACACCTGTATTCTAGTGCTCAGTCAACAGTTCCCATCAGATGCTTTATGCAGGATACATGATCTTCTTGAACCTAAATTCCTCATGAAAGGCATGAACCCGAAGGTAGCGAAAGTGTCTTTTATTAATAAAATCCTATAGCCATTCAGAAACTTAAAGAATTGACTGATTGAATATTTAAATTGTTTACTCTGTATCTCCGTAGCTTTCCAGATAATAATAAAGCTCATTTTCTACCATTTCAAAGTTGGCATATATTCATATTTTTAGAGTAATATTTTTAATATTCTCAAGAAGACATTCTAGTAAAACATATTCTATTGAAAATTGTTTTCAAAGATAATGGTTGCCTCCATGTCGTGTCTTGTTCGTTCTGGCTATTGTTTTAAACGCACCCAAAATTCATTTGCTGAACGTTTCACTCCTTCACTGTGGAACTTCACTGCATAGTGGTGACAGGCAAAGACTGGAGCCAGCCACCTGGGTCAAAACCCCAGCTCCTCTGCATACTAGCTGTGTAGGTGTATGCAATGCCTCTTACTATCTCAGTGTAAAAAAGGGTTCATTATAATACCCGTCTCATAGCATGGTTGTATGCTTACATGCGTAAAGCATCTGTGAGAGTACCTTCTAGCAAGTGCTGTGTAAGTGTCGGTTTTATTTGGTTGTTGTTGCCATTATTTATATAAAACACAGATTAGGAGGACATTCTTGAATTCAACATTTTCCCTGTTATTTGACCTCTGATCTGATATGTTCCTAGACACTTTTGGAAACATTCGCCTACCAGAGGACGCTTCCATTGCACATGCAAACCATCATAGGTTTAAACACACACTCGCATGCACACACGTGCACACACACTCACATGCACATTCGTTGACACACATTGATCAGCATATGTGCCCTCAAAACTGCAAAGTGACCCGTAGTCAGTCACATTGATTTCTCTTTCGAACATCATTGTCTAAGCATACAGTCTTAAATCTAAAAATCTTTGTTGTGAAAAATACTAACATTTTCTTCTTGTGATGGATCTATATGAACAGAACTATACGGAAGGAGAAAAGGAGCAAGCAAAGCATAGGAGACAAGCTCTTGGGGCCTGCACTTTCTGCCCCAATTCTCTCCTTTCTGTCAACACACATATGCCTTCTCCACTTCCTTCTCCATTCCAATCTCCCTCTTAGATCCACACCCACACGCCCCAGATTGTGTCCGTGTTGGGAAAACTAAGGTGGCAGTGGGAAACATGGAGGCTGCCACTCCCGGGGGAGTTCCGGGCAAGTTCCAGCCTCAGTCCTGCCTCTGGTCTGGACCTGCCTCCTAACCTCCCTGGGTTCGGTTGTCCTCATTGTTGTTGTTGTTCCTGCTGCCTTTGCTTTTGATCTTTAAAGTTGTCACATGAAGAGTTGGGACCAGATGATCCCCTCCTGCCTCTTAAGACTCTACAAGGAGTTGACTTATTTTCTACCTTGCAGCTCCAGGGCCATTCAGTCATAAGTGTTCCTTGGAAGCAATTCCCCTTCCCATTAACAAATAAATAATTACCGCTTCCCCTGAGAAATGAGAGTTTCAGACTGGTCCCATGTTTTATTGATGGAGACACTGTGATGAATCAGCTGGAGGAGCCCGTGTCTGGCTGCTGAAGGACCCTCACCAAGGCTTGGAATCTTAACAAGGGCTGGTATCACAGTGCTATGCAGAGCAGAGCGTGGGAGAGGAGGCTGCGTGAAGAGGACCCCGCTGCACCAGCAGACACATCAGTGATAGCCTTCTCCAAGAGCATGTTATATTCTGAAGTGTTCGACCACTGATACCCCTCGAGATACTTACAACTCAAGGAGAAGGACTTAGGAAAGATTGGGAGCGCTTCTCGGGCTGAACATAAGCCCACTGACTTTGAAGTGCTGGTACCTGGCCCATTCTTACCTCTGATACTGTCAGCTGTCAGCTGTAACAGAGAGTGAGGCTGGATGTAACTATTCTCTTTTCTTTCTCTTTTGCATTGCAGGGCCTGGGTCGGTGAGAGGAATAAATGGATCCATCAGTCTGGCCGTACCACTGTGGCTGCTGGCAGCATCTCTGCTCTGCCTTCTCAGCAAATGTTAATAGAATAAAAATTTAAAAATAATTTAAAAAACACACAAAAATGCGTCACACAGGATACAGAGAGAGAGAGACAGAGAGAGCGAGATGGGGGGAGACTGTTTATTTTACAACTTTGTGTGTTTATAAATGAAGGGGGAAATAAGAAAACCAAGAAGAAAATACACTTAAAACCATTTTAAAGTCCATCAATAAAAACTTAACTATAAATCAGGGTGGGAAAAGTTCTACAAGGATATGTGTATATCGAAGCAAATATATACTATATAAAGACTACATCATGCTAAGGACACCTGGATGTTGTAAAAATAAGACAAGTGAAGAAGTGTCAGATGGATATTAACCCCCCCACACACACTTTATCCTTCTTTAATTCTTTTTCATCTGTGGGGAAAGAAAAAATAAGGTCTTGCCTTTGGTGTTTATATTTCCATCATCTTTTAATTTTGTTCTTCATTTGAGCTGACTCATAGCCATTTCAGACTATCAGTGGAATCCGCGCTGGAATCATGTGTTGAGCCTTTACCTGGCTTTCCTGCCTCCACTCTCTCTCCAACTTTTAAGACCATCTCCTCCCCCTCCAGTGTGTTCTATCTCCCCTACATCCATCCCAGAGACTCCCTTTATACCCTCCACCCCCATAGCTGTTGCTTCTTCTCACCCCCTACCACACCCCCCAGCACTAGTCATGCCGCAAACTCTAGGAAGTGCCATTTTAATTTTCTCCACTGTGCGTGCGTGCTCAAGTCTCTCGCTCTCACGTGGGTGTACATGTGTGTGAGCGTGTGTGTGTCTCTCTCTAAAGCATGCCAAGGGAATGGTCCATGTGTACATAGACTCATTGTGTTGTAGATACTGTCCCGCATTGTAACTGTGAGATGCGGCTGTGACAAGTTGCTGTGGGACAGGTGGGGAAGGAGGCATGGAGCAGAGTCCCCCAACCTCCCCCATGGCTGTCGCATGACATCAGTGTGTATCCACACCAAGCTGTGCCCCTTCTAAGGGCAGAACCTCATATTCCTCCTAGTCCAATCATCAGAACCCAGTCGAGAGTCACTCAGAATATCACTGTAAATGAAAGTGCCTACTATTGATGGAGTGAGCAAACAGTAGAAAGAATCAGTGACGTCAATGAGGTGACCTAGGAGAGAAGGTTTCTGACTTCACTCTTGTTTCATGAGTCTGAGGAATTCATGTATTTCCTGGCTTTTTGCAGGCTTGGACCTGCTCTGCTGCAGGAGTGAGTAGCATGTGTTGAGTAAATCCCAAGAACCAGGAAGGTCTCCAAGTGTTAACTCTCAATGAAAGGATGATGAGCCACATGGAGATCCCAAGCAGGCCTGTTGTGCTCCTTCCCTGATCTTCAAATAACACTGCATTTGGCCCATGGATTCCCTTGAGCAGAGATTGTTTCCTATTTCAGATAAAATAAGGTGAGAGTGAGCAAAGCAGGAAAAGTAGACCAGATGTGCAGGTCCCTACTCGTTTTGTAGAGATGTTGGCAGAGCTCTATACAAAGCATTGACCATAACAAGAAGGAATCCATTCCTTGTGCTCCTTTGCAGATTTTTGTCCTGGTGTTGTAAGCTAATAGTCTATTTGGTGGCCTGCACAATCTCCTTTTTTGCTCCACTGGTAATGTCTGCAGCACCATTGTTCTCAGTAGTCCATCATTATCCTAGGCCAGGCCGCTGGAATATATTCCACCTTCCCTGCTCACTTTTGGCTTCTAGTTCCTGAAAAAGATATGGTGGGGGATATGATGTCTAAGTTTACATCAACAAGAGTCATCTGAAATGTGAGTTAGTTCCTTAATCAAAAGAACTGGGAAACTTGTAATAATTTAGGTCGAAGTTGTACGCACGCCACAAAGCTTGGTATCACCGCAACACCAGGATTTTCTTAGGAAAGGTCTTGCAGAGAGAGCTGGCTCTCTGTCTGTAGATGTCTTTGTCAGGAAACCAACCATTGCTTTCATTTGAACTATAGGAGGCATTGGAAGTAACTCAGTTTATGAAAAGACAGAGGATTATTATTGAGGTCACAATTGAATGTATTTCAGAAGAGCCAAATATGGTACCTCCTTTAGTTTTGGAACCTGAAAAATAGTGTCACAGAATATAAAACAGGAAATTTCCTAACTGCAAATAGAAAAAGGAAGGAAGAGAGAAAGGAGGAGAAGAAGCGAGGGAAAAAGTGGAAAAGAGGGAAGGAAGGAAGGAAGGGAGGGAGGGAGGGAGGGAGGGAAGAAGGGAAGAAGAGAAGACAGACCTAAAATTTCTACTGATAGATTTCATTAATTGCAGTCTCTTTGCAATGAGCCTTGTCTTTGAAGGTAATGATCTCTTTGATAAGCAACATTTTAAATCTGTTCTAGGGGATTCTATTGTTTGTTTTAGAAAGCTTATTACCAGCCTTCTTTTGTGATTGCAGTTTAGACATGAAACTGAAGGGCAAATTGGGCTTAGAGATGGATAAGAGTATTTGTGGCAGATCCTCGCATAGTACAGAAATTCTTATGCCAGAAAGTAGCTACTAAAATATAGGGAAGGTGAGCCATATTCCTATCCAGCATCAATTTATTGACAATCGGGGTTTCTCTAACATTTTGGTCTTAGTACAGGAATAAAAGTTTATCATCATTGATGATAAATATTCCCCACATATTGAAGAGCCAGTTACATCCTTAGGTGGAAGCTTTAGATGAATGCATGCTAATTTAAAGATATATAAGAAAAGAAAAGTAGCAGGAGTTAATTTGGTTTAGTATCAGTTTCAGGAACAGATCCTTGTGGCATGTGACATATTTTAATCATACGCCTACATTTCGTATTGTCTCCACCCTATCATAACGACAAGGTCTTGATTTTATAGAAGGAGATTTTCCACAGAAAGGAATGTCTGCCTTGTCAGCACCATTTGTTCCCTGAGTTTTAATATAATGGACCATATATTAAACATAATTAAACATATATTGAATATTGTGGTGTTTGCATATATCTCTGGCAGGATCTGGGAATTAAAAAAAAAAAAAATTTTCCTGGCTCCTGTTTCAGAGCAAACATTGGCCCCAGAAATCGCCTAGGTTTGAGAATGTCTCTAAGCAATGTGAAGAATGGAGGAGAACATAATTTGGAGAAAGGTCAGGAAAAAGGTAGCAGCCGAAGGACTGACACCAAGAAATTGAGTCTGAACATGGGACTTCTTGGAATTTAGTTCATCATATTGCTATAAATCCCTTCAAGAATCTTGTCCATTGGTAATCAAAACTTGAAACCCTGCACTGAAAAGAACAAACTGGTTGGAAATAATACCCTGAGAGGAGTGAAATTCATCAATTAATCTGAATGGCTAATATATTTAATGTCCTCTGTATGCAAAACGAAACTCCACCACTCATAAAACAAAATCCTTAGAACCGACCTTCAGTTAACGAAAGCAGAAATGACCTTGACCAAGGGCACTTCCTGAAGAATGAGAACTATCCTAGGTTTTACAACTGCAGAATTATATCTTCTGTGCAATTAACTGTTCATCAGAAGGTGTTGCCTTGTTGGAGGAACAATCTTACTTGTTTTGAGACATAATATCCCTCTGCCCTGAAAGAACTAAGGCTTAGGGAAAAATTGTGTTTTCTGTTGGGGAAGAATTGTCCTATTGACCTTTGCCTTCTCTTCCAAGTCAGACAGACTTCTCCCTTGCCATGGGCATTTTTTTACTACATATTCAGTCAACTGGGGCTATTCATAGAGACCTTGTAAAAGTACTCGTGATTTTCATGTTCTTGGAGACAGAAACACAAATCTGTTTCTCCTCCAAAAATGGACTTACCTCCTTTGCACACAAAAACTAAACTCCTCAGCATGAAATTATTTCTGAGTTATTACCTACCAAGTTGTTAGCTTCTTAACTACTCCAGAGTCACAGTTTCCATCCCCAGGTTGGTTGTGGTTTGACTGTTTCTATTGGCTTGTCTCCCAGAATCTCTCCTTTTGCTTTTTGCAGGCCTTGAATTATTTGTGGAAAAATAATATATATGTGTATGTATTTTTTTTAATCTTATCTTTACAGATGCTATATTTACAATATTGTATGTATTATAAGGCAAATCTAGAATAATGGTTAAAAGGAAGAAAAAATACTGAATTTGGTTAAAAAAAGAACTATGCTTCATTTAGAAAGATACGGAGCCCCATTTTTTCCACTTCGTAATTACTTAAGAGGAATTTTTTGTGGACCAAGTTCCATGGGATTAGCCATGGCCTTATTTTTCTCTTCATCTTCATTAACTTTTTAGCCTGAATTTAGTCTCGGTTACCGGTAACTATCATTTTTTTTATAGAAATATAAGTGCAGTGTTATATCTGACCTATAAAAACTATTAATATTTTGAAGACAAATGTTAAACATACCACAAAAATGGTGAGATAGGACCCTAAATTAAGAAACTCAAATTCAGTTCAGGAAGCCTTGTTCTTTCTTGCGTACTTAAAATATTTCTCTTCCAAAGACTACATTTGCCCCACTGATGTAAATTTTCCATCATGGTTGGCATAATATCTGTAAACATCTCACTAAATGCAAAATGGAGTTTACATTTATGTGCATACTCGTGGAAGAGAAGTAAACTATTCTCATTTGCATGTAGCTGTGTTGTCAAATGCGGCCAACTGAAATTCAAGAGAGAATTTGTTTTCACCCAGCAATGTACATCACTTTCCTCTTGGCAAGGAAGCTGGTGTTAACGTTAGGTTTAGGTTTAACATTTACACCAGTGCAAATGTTTATGGATATTATGGAAAACTTATTTTAAAATCTTGATTTCCTTTCGGTGCATTTACATACTGTGTGCTGATTAATAAATTAGGCACCAATCATGTGTAAATCAATGTAAATCGCTAGTTTATGTACATAATATAAACTATGTAAACTTCATTTTTCATGCAGTGCCCAGGTTCAGCTAATTCTATGAATCTTAAAGAAAAAAAAATCAAATGAAAACTAAAGCATTTCACAGGTCAGAATGGGAAGGAGTATGACTAATGTCCCAAACAAGAAGGTTGCCTCAGCAAAAGGAAGCAGACCCACAGGAACTATTAAAGGTGACATCCTGCTCAAGTCACAAGAAGCCACCTCTTTGTTCCTGAGGGACTTAAGTGGAGTTTCTCCCATTGTCTCACCTGACCCCAAAGCAAGGGAAATGAGAAGACAGGGAGGAAGGAGTTTTAAGGTCTCATGTATCTGTTGCGTCAACTCCCAGTGTCTCTTGTTACTTCTTACCCACCATCTAGGATGGCTTATTTAAATGGATCCAAGGAAGTCACCTACAGCTTGGTGAGCAAAATATTACTCAGTTTTTATTTTCCATCAGACAAAGACATTGGGAAAGCTTCCTTTTCATCTTGATTCTAAGAAATTGTACGATACAAGAAATATGCTATATCCTTGAGAAAAATCTTGCCAAGTTACCTTAGGAAATGATTACTTTTACTTAATCTGATAGACCTATATTTCTACATATCTATCCTGAATATTGCAAATGAGGACATAATTACTTTAATTGGGACTATCTCTCTCAGGCACCTTCTCTTGGAGTCTTTTTGAAGGGTCTGATGTGTTTAAAAGAGTGACATACATGTATTTTCTACAATCTGAACAGCCACAAAAGAGCCATCAAAGAGATGACTTTGGGAATCGCATGAACTTTCTGCATGGATTGTTATAGAAAGAAATTTAGGTCAAATTGACATTACACTTAATTAAAGTACACTCCTCCACCCAACATAAATGGTAACTTTAAGGTGAAGCAGAAAGTCAAGAGAATTGGATTCTGGC